ATGTTGTCTGGGGGTTTGGCAAAAGGAGAGTGGGACGGTGGGCAGTGCTCGGGGGGGTGGTGACTGAAGGCGGTGACTGTGTAGTTCTGACGTCAACTTTTTACGGAAGTCACAACGGTTCGTGAAAAATCACAGCTACTTTAAGCAGGCTGTGTGAATTTTACTGTGGACTGACTGTTTTGAAACTTATATGGTAGTTACATAGCACCTAGACCTCAGTTATCATGAAAAAAAAGCCAGGAAATTTCAGTTTTGACAATATGGGACCTTTAAAAAAAATTTTGTTAATGTATTAGATTTTGAAACATGTCTAGTTTATAATGGGTTAGAGAGTGGAAAAATAAAAAATAATGAGAAAATGAATAAAAAGAATGGAGGATTGTGGCTGTATGTCACCTCATCCCTGTACAAAGGACTCGTGTAGTACATAATGTCCATTGCACTGCTGTTCAGCATGTCTCTCAGACCTCGCACTTTGTCTGGAGTAATGGAGTCCACGGTGTCTGAAAAGGTAATTTTCGTCATAAATAAACACAACATTCAACCATAATGTACTTTGTTTTTAATTATTTTCCATAGGCAATACCTCCATCAAGGGCGAGTTTAGATCGCCATTCCACAGGAAGGAACTCAACGTGTTCATTTGTTCGCTCAGAAAAGTGCTTCTCCTCCATCTTGCGGGCAGCATCACGCATCCTAACCATCAGTGAAATGCATTAGTTAGCTTCAGGTCTAGATGACTGGTTTTGCGCAGATTCAACTGTGTGATTGGTGGACTCACATGCTTGTATTTCTAATGATACGCCCCTGATCCATCTTCTGGCCAATCCCATGTACCACAAAGACTATGTGCGTTGTTTCAGGAGGCGTGTCCTCTGGAGCCGCCTCCTCCACGTAACCTCGATGGAGACGGGTCCCGCTGCTGGACGCTAACCAGACATGAAGGAAGAAACGTTGCTGCTTTTGCTAAATTGATAATCACTTTATTTTATCTTTAGGTTTAACAGTGAATGTACTGTGTCATGTAGTGTACTTTAAATCTATATTTACATATATGACAGACAGGTTTCAATAGAGAGGACTTTAAAGTATAATTTAGTTTAACATCAGTGCTTGTCAGTGTATTCGGCAGTACACTTAAACCATATTTCAAAGACAATAGTAATTAGTAATTATGATTCACAATTTGAGTTGAAGTACTGAAATAAATGAACTTTTCCACAACATTCTAATTTATTGAGATGCACCTGTAGATGTGCTTAGTTCCTGGGTCAAATTTCAGCTGTTCCACATCAAGTCAATAAATAATATACTCTCAATGGTACAAATATATGTGTAAATAATATGTAAATAATGTACTTTAAGCAGATACATGAATTGAAAAGCTACTTCTCTTTCTCTTCTGGGAAACTAAACCAAAAATACTGATGACTCACAATTTTTTTGTCCCAAGTAGCAAATCATGCACTGAATTCTAAATAACATACTAGCATACTACACTTCTGTATTGCAGAAATAGTACGAGTAGCATGCCATCATGTTATTTCGAGTTCAGCCATGGATTGGCTATTAAAAAAAAAAAATGGGTGAATATGTCCTGCCCAAACGTCCAGTTTCAACAGAAAATGCAAAACTTAGAATAGAGCACTGCACTCATCAAGCCATTTTATGTGGTCTTTAAATGAGCAACACTATTGAGAATGTACTTACTAATCAAGGGTGTTACAAACCTTTAGAGAATCCCAGTTTCTGAGTAACAGTCCGTGCGATCTTAGAAGTGGTAGCATCGCTGTAAAGGTACACTTCATCCACGCTGTGCCAGTCCACGTGGCTCCGGCTCAGTTTCAGACTGTGAATGGCTGAGTGAATTAAGGGCAGAAGTCAAACAGGTCTGTGTCAAATTACCCGACTGTTAAGTAATGTCTAACCAGATCAGATCATTTCAATTAAGGGTCTTTTTGACTATTTGCAAACACGAGTGACAGTCAATAGCCCTTCTGCTGTATACATGTCACCAGTGCTTGTCTTAGTTCAAATGTGTGTCATATGAGACAAACAGGATGTCTGGGTTGGGTTGTGGTTCATTCATGATCGTGCCTCTGGATCGGCTGAACTAAAAGTGTCAATGTTAAGTCGGCCTTTTTTTGTGTGCTTGAGCCCCATAACAAAGCTTCCTAACCCTGAGTCCTATTCGTAGCATGGTTTGTTACCATCTTTGCTGTCCACCGTGGTGGCCACCGCTTCCGTGTCAAAGGTGTCTTTCATCTGCTGGCCTCGGAAACGGGCCAGATGCTCCAGTTCAATGAGGTCACTGTCCTCTTCCTCCAGCGGCAACCAGGTCCCATCCGTGAACCACTGGCCTCTCATGACCGGGATGTGGTCCTGTTCTGTAAATGCAAGCAGTATGAATTTGTATCCGTTTCTGAAGAAACATATCATCTGACTTAAGCCCAAAGATCCCAAAGGATTTCCTGTTATCGTGGGGAAAAATCTCAAGTTTTTGATTGCATGGTGCGATGAATTAATGGTCTTTACAATTAATTAAATTACATTAGGCCTATATTTGTTATTAATGTACATAATGACTTCACGTTTTTTTGTGGCATGAATAAAGTCTATGCTTCATATAGAGTAAAACTATATAAAGATGTCATTTTCTTTCCATTTGTGCTGTTTTTTGAAACACCTGCATTCAAATTCATCAGTGCCACTTTGTTCATTCTTGAAATGATTCACTGTTTCGGACTGTGAATGCGAAGTTTAAACTTGAGGTTGCGAATACAGAATGATGCGACCGGCATGCAACCGATTTCAATGCTTAATCGAGTCTAGATGTCTTGGCTTCAATTTATCATACAGTCTGGCGTGAAAAATGGTAAATGTCACACAATCTGTCTGGTCTATCTTCTTAAGGTCAGATAGTACAATCTGTAAAGATATCATCTTAAAGGATTAAAAAAATGTAGTAGTGTATAGCAGGCTTTAAAAGGATAGTTCACCCAAAAATGAAAATTTTGTCATCATCTACTCACCCTCATGTTGTTCCTGTATGAGTTTCTTTCTTCTGTTGAACACAAACTATTTAGAAAACCGCTGGTAACCAAACAGTTGCTGGTGGCCATTTTTTCTCCATATGATGGAAGTCAGTGACTACCAGCAACTGTCTGGTTACCAACATTCTTCAAAATATCTTCTTTTGTGTTCAACAGAAGAAAGAAACTCATACAGGTTTGGAACAGCTTGAGGGTGAGTAAATGATGACAAAATGTTCATTTTTGGGTGAACTCTCCCTTTAAGGTGTGGTCACATTAGCGAAATATTGCGGGCAAAAAAAAAAGGCCCATTGTCTGTTGTCAATAACGATTTCACAACTCAGAAGTCAAATTAAAATCTGGCAGCTTTCTGTGGGTCAACAGTGTGAGTTAGTGTGACCAACTTAAACGCCCTTTGCCTTTCGCCTTGATGCCAAATATCTGATTGTGCGGATTCCTATTGAAATGACTGGATTTCGCCCACGAAAATTCGCTGAACAACCATAAATCTAAAAAACAACAAAAAAAGAAATCTACCATAATTACACATGTCATACAAACACCAAAGGAGAAGTTACACTATACTGGACAATCCATTTGAGGAACAGACCATAATGTTGTTATTCGCTCAAAGTCACATTCAAACTTGGCATCAAATCAGATGCAATGACTTTCAGGACTTTCAGGGTCAAGTTTGAATGAGCTCATTGAGATTTAAGAGTTATGGCAGTGATGTTTTGGCAAATAATGACTTAAATTTCAGTTTTTTTTCACACACAAGATGATTTGAAATATACTTGAAGTATGTAGACTACTTTTAGGATACTCTCATGGTGCTTTTGGAGCTTGACAGCCTCAAGTAACCATTTAATTTCGTTGTACGTATAAGAGCTGTATGAGCATTCTGCAAAACATCTATTTTTGTTTTCCAGATACAATTTTGTTGTACAAATACTCACGGTTCCAGTATACAGGATAACAGTCTTTCTTTTTGATGTCCACCTCGTAGAGTCCTCCACGGACGCACACTGCGTCCACGTTGATGCTTTCTGAATCCAGCTCCGTCTCGTCTGTTGAGCATCCAGCATCCGCGCTCTCGGGTACCGGTTGCGCTGCCACCGCCGCCGCCGACTGTCTTCGGACCGCCGGTGCTTCGCATCCTGACGGCGACTCGAATAAATTCTCTGCTTCTTCACCCGCATCCCTCCGTCTGACCTCGTTCGGATTAAGTTCGCAGAATTTGCGATACGCCAACTCGATTTTCAAAGAATCGTGTCCAACAAACGGTTTCCAGGTCCTCTTGTCCTCTTTGTAGAACCAGCGCACCTCTTCGGGTCCGAGTTCCGTGACAACTTCCCCGCGGTGCCGCGAGCTGTTGGAGCGGCTGCGCTTTTTCGTGGCGACGTTCCCGTTACTTTCGCTGTAGTTCGGGTCGCCGGGGATGTCGAGATAATCTGAGTCCGGATCAGAACCGAGACGGCCATGATAGGCAGCGAAACCCTCTTCCACCAGGCCTAGCATCAGTCCTCGTTGGCCTCGGGGCAGCGGCAGATGTCCGTCTATGCCCGGCTGCACCGCATCCATCCCGGCGCGTATCGCGTCGCCCGTGGGTTCGTCAAAGCAGGACTCGCACGCATCCTCCATCCTTCCCCATTCACCGCCGCTGACATTTTCCCTGCTTTGCGAACAACTCAAAGACGTGTTGTCCTGACAAGCGCTCATCGCCGCTTTTTAGAAAACAGCAAACGGAGCGATTTCAGCACCGGTCAGCTGATTATAATAACAACAAATCTAACGATGTCAAAACCTCTCCTCCCCCGGCGAGACCGGAGCGGCCAGCATCTGTACGGACGCGTCAATCACACACGCTGGACTTGAAACTTCATTAAATAGTCGAATTCACTCGGACGGTCCTCAACTTACAGGGCGAACACGCCAACCTGTTCACTTTCCATTATATGCCGACTGTATTTCTCTCTGTGAAGCCCCTCTCTTGCAGTGTAGCGCCGTCCGACTCGTGAACGAATCTTTCTGTTGAGTCGGATCTTTTTAAAGGATTAGTTCAACCGGTTCACAAAAAAAAAACAGTCCGACCGAGTCGTCCACGACTGAATCTGTTCTCGAATCCAACTCGTTGAACAGGGCGAGAAATATCTGAGAAATATGCTGTTTTCGAAATATCACGTATTATTTCTGCCATATAGCTGACTATATCTTTATATGGCTGACATAATATGCGTAGTATTAGGATGTCATTTTAATGCAAATTGTATTCTAAATAACCTTTAATGATGTTTTTTATAAGCTTGATGAAAAATGACAGCCTCATTACTAATCGTCGTGTACGTCATACAACGTAATATGCTTTAAAAGCATAAATATAAACTGTACTTTCTGTAACTATACGAAGCCACGTTTGCATTTATTTTGGAATTCAGAAATAGAGAAATGTATCAATGAAAATATTCACTGTTCACTTTTATGGGAGAATGTTCTTTTTGGCTTGAATATGAATAAGAGGACGAAAGCGTTTATTTAATTGATTTACTTATATTCGTGACCAAATTTCACATTCATAAATGCAAGTTTGCTAATGAAAAACTAATAAAACATCTTTATGGTGTTGTTGACTTAAGTACGGCTGTGCATAGACAGAGACTCTGAACGCTATAAAGAATTTAAAAGTTTGTGACCTATTTATTAGATTTTTTTTTTTTACACCTGATTGTACAGTTATTCTATTTTTTATACCATTATATACAATAATATAATAAAAATTTTCTCTGCTTTAGTATAATGTTCAGTATCTTCATTTAAATTTAAAAAATGACGCTGCAATTACGTGATGACGTAAACAAAACAGAATCATTTTTCACCGGTTCATTGAAGCGATTTGTTTGAAAGAGTCGATTCTCGGAATGAATCGGACTTCTCTTCACTATCTTGCTGTAACGCTCCTCCCTATGCGTGACTGTATAGGAGTCATGTGCGGATTTGGTCGTCTGGGCCACCGTAGCGGCTGCCACAACCGGAAGTTTACGTTAGTGACTCGTGAGTCTTGAAGGGTGACAGCCCAACGCTAGACTGCCTAGGATACCGCACTTAAAAAAAATAAAACAAAAAATTATTACACGTACCGGCATTTATGTGCACTGTATTAATGTAACATTTTAAGCATGGCTGCGGAGTTTTTAGTGATGTTGTACGAGTATTCTCCTCTCTTTTACATTACTGTCATAGCAGTATGTTTCATTATCACTGTGGCTGTTGTGTTGGGCTGGTGAGTTCACATTTATAAGGATAAACTAGCATTTTAGTCCAGCGTTAGATGGTTTGGGTTAAGTATGGACTTTTGTAAGGTGTAAGGTGCATATCCCGTTAGCTAGTTCCCTCTTAAAATTAAAAAGTTGATGTTTACATCCTTAATCTGTGTCTAACTAACTTTGGTGTGGTCTGTCAAGGTTTGGATTTGATGTCCCGGTCATTTTACGCAGTTCAGATGAGACTGAATCTCTAATACCTGTCAATGAGAGGAAGATGGTGCAGGTGACCAATCCCTTCGCTTTGGAGATGGACTCTAGGGCTGGTACAGTAACTGGTGAGGATCTAACAGTAACCGTGTTGAATCTATTTAAAATGAGTGAAATGGAGTCAATAAGTGCATGTGTGTTCTCTTTTGGTCAGAGGGTGTGAGTTTGCGGCCGTATTGTCTTGAAGACTGCATCCTGAGCTGTTTTTGGGGTTGTGGGGTCCAGGCTCTCCAGGCGGCCCTTCAGAGGCACCAGCGTGGGCTCCGGCTCAGCACACCAGAGCTGTTTCAAGAGGCTCTGGAATTAAACTACCATCACCACCAAAGCTTCAAGTATCCTTTTCATTTGCCTTCGAAATAGCTCCGTAATAACATTTCACATCATCCTTGCAAGAGAAGAGGGGAAAGTGAGGTAAGCAGAGACACGTTTTCTTCGGCTTTTCTCTAGGTAAAGAAGAAAAATAGATTGAGGTGAGACTAATATGTCTAAATATATGGGGAATGAAGGGGGCAAAAGCATTGCAGGACTGAAAATATGACTTCTTAAAATAGTGGTTCAGTGATACAGCTTGCTTTACATTAGAAGTAAACTATAGTGTGTCTTCATGACAAATGTACATAAATGTATATAATACATATAAATCTGTATTTATCATGTCATGATGATGATTGCATTTTAAATTATTTGTACATAAATGTATACAGTATGCTGTATACATAATTGGGTAAAAAAGGCAATTTATCATGTCATTATGATGATTTCTCTTTTAAATAAAAATGTACACTTAAATCTGGGGTCAGTTAAGATTTTTTAATGTCTCACCAAGGCTGCATTTATTTGATTAAAAATACATTAAAAACAGTAATATTTGACCAATCCCTTCGCTTTGGAGATGGACTCTAGGGCTGGTACAGTAACTGGTGAGGATCTAACAGTAACCGTGTTGAATCTATTTAAAATGAGTGAAATGGAGTCAATAAGTGCATGTGTGTTCTCTTTTGGTCAGAGGGTGTGAGTTTGCGGCCGTATTGTCTTGAAGACTGCATCCTGAGCTGTTTTTGGGGTTGTGGGGTCCAGGCTCTCCAGGCGGCCCTTCAGAGGCACCAGCGTGGGCTCCGGCTCAGCACACCAGAGCTGTTTCAAGAGGCTCTGGAATTAAACTACCATCACCACCAAAGCTTCAAGTATCCTTTTCATTTGCCTTCGAAATAGCTCCGTAATAACATTTCACATCATCCTTGCAAGAGAAGAGGGGAAAGTGAGGTAAGCAGAGACACGTTTTCTTCGGCTTTTCTCTAGGTAAAGAAGAAAAATAGATTGAGGTGAGACTAATATGTCTAAATATATGGGGAATGAAGGGGGCAAAAGCATTGCAGGACTGAAAATATGACTTCTTAAAATAGTGGTTCAGTGATACAGCTTGCTTTACATTAGAAGTAAACTATAGTGTGTCTTCATGACAAATGTACATAAATGTATATAATACATATAAATCTGTATTTATCATGTCATCATGATGATTGCATTTTAAATTATTTGTACATAAATGTATACAGTATGCTGTATACATAATTGGGTAAAAAAGCAAATTTATCATGTCATTATGATGATTTATCTTTTAAATAAAAATGTACACTTAAATCTGGGGTCAGTTAAGATTTTTTAATGTCTCACCAAGGCTGCATTTATTTGATTAAAAATACATTAAAAACAGTAATATTGTGCAATATTATTACATAGTAACTGTTTTCTATTTTAATATATTTTAAAACAATTTATATTTGTGATGGCAAAGATTGAATGAATAGAAAGGTCAGTATTTTTTAGAAATACATTTTTTTATAACATTTTAAATGTTTTTACTGTCACGTTTGATCAGTTTAATGCATCCTTTTCCGAATAAAGCTATTAATTTCTTTTAAAGACTTACTTTTTAACTGGAGTGTGTGTATAATATATATATATATACACGCTACATTTTTGTAAACTAGCTAGAAAATGCACAGAAAATGTGAATGTAGTGAAACAGTTCGCAAATTTTGTAGTGCAATTTATAATATTGCATATCTGTATATGATTTTCTAAATATATGATCACGTGACAAAACACATCTTCTCTTGCACTCTCCTTAATGTGACAAAAAAAAAAAACATTTTAAATTAATATGATGGAACACAATTTTATGCTTTGTCCTTAACATAGCGTTAGTATACATAAAGAAGAAAAAGAATACTTCACCCAGATGCCTCCAGATCTCGGAGTAACCGATTTTGGGTTGCTCCCCCGGGATCGATACCCCTTGGTGGCTGTGCTGACACTTGCCAATCCAGAAACCAGGGACAACTACAATATTGTAAGCAGCACATTTTTTTTTCTTTATCGGATTTGCTTGATGGAAACAGATAAAGTCTGTTATTCTGTTGTCTTTCTAGGTGGCCAGTGTGACAGTGCTCCACGTTCCTGATGACAAATACAGACTCTCTGTGAGAATATTGTTTCAGTATCTTCTCACGGCACATGGGAATTTGTACGATCTGAAGGTATGAAAACGTCTTCACAACATTGTCATTTTCTGCTGATCTGGGATCAGTTTTTGTATGCTCATTTTGATCACACTTAACCTTCAACACCTAGTGTCCCTGAAGCGAAATGGGACAGTGTTTAATTATACACCATTAATTAAGAGCCTTGTCTAGAGCGGGATTGTGGGCTTAAAACTATTCTTTTTCCACAGCCTCTCTTCATGTCAGCAGACAACAGCAACTTGTCTGGAACCACAGAGCCTTCAACTAGCACGCAAGGGGCGGAGCCACAGCCCGAAAGGCCAGGTGAGAAGGGGGAGGAGTCTGATGCAGAAGGGGAGTGGCCTGATACCCAAGGCAGGGACTGTGTGGTGTGTCAAAATGCACCGATAAACAGAGTGCTGTTGCCATGCAGACATGCATGCGTATGCGACGGCTGCGTGTGCCACTTCCAGCACTGTCCGATCTGCCGGGCGTTTGTCCTTGTATCTTTTGCTCTGGCTAACCGACCAGCTCACGATGAGGACTTAACAGAAGACTAAGCCTGTGTAAACTCAGTATTAAAAGCAAGCCTTTGCTGGAAAGGCTAAACTCGAAAAGGAAACGTAGCAGCTTCAAGATAAAGAGTCGCAGGCAGCTGACCTTTAACCCCACGTATGGACACTTCTAGAATGATGTCAGTTTTAGGCTTTTGAAGTTGAGTGTGCTTGTAAGATTTGTTTAATATAGAGATTTTAAGTTGAATAGGATATTTATTTATTTTTGTCAATATATTGGTTTAACTAACAAATATACATTTCAGAAGGAATCATTGTGGAGTTTTGGAGAGATACAGTGGGAGGTTATCTTATTTCTTTAATCATTGACTTTAATGATGTGGAAAAGCAGGCCAGGCACACACAGTTTATATAACGGATCACACAGATTTCTAGAGCCGTATCATCTTACAAGTCTACACTTGGCCAACAGGTAAATATTTTTTATCAAACTGGGGCTAAACAATGCATTAACTGAATAGCTGAAGTCACTTGATGGTAGTAATGGAAATGGATCATCAGAATGCTTTAAAATATTGATAAGAAAAAAAAACTATTGCAGTAACAAAACAAAAAAAAAAGTGTTGTGTCCATGGACAGTACTGTTTACTGACCGAAAACCCCTCACATTTATAATTTGCACAAAAAATGTGGTTTTATACAGGCTTGTAGTCGAGTTTGGACTCCAGCTTCTTGGAGTCTGCCACCTTCCTCACAGCTTTCATGAAATCCTCCTGAGTCACGTACTCGTGATCGGCACGGATGGCAAACATACCTGTTGGATAAAAAGGAGGAGAGCTCAAAACAATAGGAATTCTAGAGGCTCAAAGGTTCAAGGTTTGGCTGGTCAGTGTCATGCTATTAGACCCAAAAGCACATTTCCACTAACAGCTATTGTTATTGGGCAAATTTTAGAATGTTTTTTGGCACATGAAGTTTATTCTACATATACTATAGTTATTTTCATAGCCTTCAATTTACACACTGTATGGAGGGCAACATTGGACAGGATGTAGAATAGCTTTTTAAAATAAAATACTGAAAATAAATTGACAATTTTTTCTGATTAATCAAAGACAATCTACAGATTAATCGATTATCAAAAGTTGCAGCCCTAATTATATTAGCATGGCACGCAATTTATAGTTTTTAAATCAACAGCAAATTTTCATTTTGGGGCGAACTATTCCTTTAATGCTTCTTTGATTTGCACATTGCAATGCATGTAACATTTCTTACCAGCTTCAGTGCACACATTCCTCAAATCGGCTCCATTGAAACCGTCTGAAAGCTTGACGATGGCTTCATAATCTGGAGACGCAAGGAAATGTGATGAGAGAGGAAAAGGAAGTACTCAAAAAGAAAAAAAAAGTCACAGCTGTAAAAACTAAACCGGAAAGTCATAGAGGCGCACCTATCTCTCCATGCTTGGTGATGGGCCCAGAGTGGATCTTCAGGATGTCCAGTCGAGCCTGTTCATTGGGCAACTCAATGTCTGTACATTTGGAAAAAATAAGTCAATAAATAATAACTCAAGATTTCTTACCAGTCACTGAATATGTGAAGTTGGAGGATAGTGAAAGTCAAACTTACGGATCTTTCTGTCCAGTCGGCCAGGACGCAGCAGGGCAGGGTCTAAAGTGTCCGGCCGGTTGGTGGCCATGATCATCTTGACTCTATGCAGAGTGTCAAATCCATCCATCTGATTCAACAGCTGACAGACCGAAATATATCCAATTAGCTTTTCTTTTCTTTTTTGGGATTGTACATTGATATATATAAGAAGATTGGAATTAAAGCAATAAATTAAGCATTAATTGACAAGTAAAACGTTTATTAATTTTGTAAAAAACAAATAATAATAATAATAAAAAAAAAATTTGGACATTGATATATGGGAAGATTTAAATTAAAGCAATAAATTAAGCATTAATTGACAAGTAAAACATTTATTAATTTTGTAAAAAAAAATTATAATAAAAAAAAAAATTGGACATTGATATATGGGAAGATTTAAATTAAAGCAATAAATTAAGCATTAATTGACAAGTAAAAAGTGTATTAATTTTGTAAAAAAAAAAAAAATTGTACATTGATATAGGAAGATTTAAATTAAAGCAATAAATTAAGCATAAGTTGACAAGTAAAACATTTAATACTTTGTAAAAAAAAAAAAAAAAAATTAATAATAAAAATTGCAGTTGACAGAAATTGTAAAAAGTATTTAAAAATAATAATGAATGAAATTTAATAAAACAAAAACTTTTTATAATTTCACAAGGTTAGTTACAAACCCCCTCCATACCTCCATCAGTGTCCTCTGGATCTCTCGATCTGCAGAGGTTCCTTCAGAAAACCGACGTCCACCTTCAAAGACAAAGTATTTGTTGAATCCATTTAAGAACAACTGAATTTCCATTACGCCTTATAAGAATGGCTCGGACTGCAGTGTGCAGAAGAGCATTACCAATAGCATCGATCTCATCCATGAAGATAATGCAGGGCTGATGGTCTCTGGCGTAGTTGAACATCTCTCTGATGAGTCGGGCACTCTCACCAATGTACTTGTCAACAATGGAGCTGGACACAACCTGATGAACAACATGTTTTATTCAACACTATATATTTATAGCATAACAGTTGTCCTGTGTCAAATGTATCTGCGTTAAACAGTACGACCCGAGGCAAACTGTTTGTTTATAGCATCTAAATCAACATACCTTTAAGAAATTGCAGTCCAGCTGACTGGCCACAGCTCGGGCAAGAAGAGTCTTTCCAGTGCCTTTAAAAATGCAATACTTTGTGTGAAAACATACCATTTCACATACATCTCAGTAATTAACTGAAGTAACAAAGCATAATAGGGCGACTGACCTGGAGGTCCGTACAGCAGGCAGCCCTTAGGAGGAATAATGCCCACCCTCTGGAACAGCTCAGGATTGGTCAGAGGCAGCTCAATTACCTGCACAAGAGAATTCATTATTCATTATTCATTCATAATCATTAATACAGTTCAATGAGTTCAGTAAAGCTCAAGCTGCATTTACACTGCAAGGTGCAATGCACAGATCTAGTCTGTAAACACATATTCTGTCTGTTTACATTCAGACATGCATGACTATTTAAAATAAAGTGTATGAATTGGCACACAAATACAAATTTTATATATAATACCTCAGGTGTGGCATATCAAGATGCTGATTAGACGGGCAAAAACAAAAGTGTTGCGTTTATAATTTTGTTCAGTATATATATATATATATATCGCAAACATGACAAAAAAACCTTTATTATTGTTTATTTAATTCTAACTAATATGTTCTTAATAAAAACTAACCAAAACTAAAAATATGTTGCTTATAATTTCTGCACAGGAGAGACTTGGTGTTGTTTCCAAACAAAAGGAAATATATCGGCTATCGGCCAAAATGAGTTACCGGCATAATATCGGCATATCTGATATCGGCAAAAATCCAATATCGTGCATCCCTAGTTTGAGCGCTAGTGCGTTTCGTCAGCTAACAGTGATGTTATGTTAGTGTATTTCTGACCTCTCTCAGCTCACGGATCTGCTCAGACAATCCACCGATCTCAGAGTAAGAAACGCTGCCAGGATCTTCATGAGACATGTTGTACACTAGAGGATCCACTTCACGAGGCAAATACCTTTATAAAAAAAAAAGACAAGAAGTTCTCATAAAACATACCAGCTGAATATTAAAGGCCATTTCAGATAAACAAACATACCTTGACCGGCAGCTAAGAGCACAAGCAAAGCTATACCTTCTTGATGTGACTGAACTTCTTAGTTATCCTCACCTCATGATAGTGAGAGTCGTCATGTCCAGAGCAACTCTAGTGCCTGGTTTAAGCTTGGTTTTATCCAGCTGAAACAACAATACATGGCCAGATAAGACAAAGGACTTGTTAATCACACAAAAATATTCATTATAAAGTACAACCGATGTGCTCACCTGTCTGCGACATCCAACCACATAACGTGGGCCATTAGTTGCTTTGACAATAACTACAAAAGAAGAAATAATTTAGCAACTGAGCAGCAGACTAGACTATAAACTACACCAGAATAAAGGTGATCTGGACTTACATTTCTCCTCTGTCAGTTGTTTCAGCACCTCACCAACAATCTAAAAAGGCAAGGAAACGATCAGACCATAAGAAACGCAGATATCCGGCTCGTTTATTGCGGAAATAATAAAACACAGGTGTATATTTTGCTGAGCTCTTACCTGTCCCACACTCTGTAAAGCTTTCAGATCATTCTCAGACTTCTCATACTGTTTAGTGAGCTCCTTCAGCTGTTCTCTCACTGCAACAGAGATTTCAGGCCATCATGAAGCGATATACAGTGTTTATTCACATATACTAACATCTCATTAAAGTTTCATCTGCTTCATGCGTCAGAGATGCTAAAGGTTCATTGTGAGTGTTTCCTCGTGGAGAATAACTGTGCGAGAAATGACTGTGTTTAATTGTACATGCCATTAACTACGGCTAGAACACTGAAAAGCATGCTGTGTGTAGCTTTATTCAGTAATTTCATTGGTATCTGCTGGTACTCTTTGCTGTTACCATTAGCCGCTAATTGATTTCAGCACTGCATGACAAAGCGACTTACATCACAGACTGCCGAAATAAAGCAAACAACAGCCGGAGAAGATGTCAAACTGATCAATAACAGCCTGACGTGCATAGAAAGACATCACACTTACGCTCTTTGAGGCGTCCGTCAATCTCTTTATGCTCCAGTAATTTCTTTCTGTAATCTTGTAAACCTTTCTCCCTGTTGTCCGCCATGTTCACGGCCGCCGCTGCTCTTCTTCTTCTTCTTCTTCTTCTTGGTGTTTAATGGCGGATGGCATACAACTTTTCGGTGCATTACCGCCACCTACTGATTAGGAGTGTGGATTAGCCTCAATCATGTCTTCTGTCACAAACTTTTGGAAGTACTCCAGTGGGGTGAGGAGGGAGGTGGCATCACTGGTGATTTCTGAACCAGATAAATCAGTATTGGGACTGATAAACTCCTTTTTCAGCCAGCGAAACCGGTCACGGGGCACAGTGTGTTTTTTTTGGTTGGGGCTTGATGTGCACATCATCATTGGTGGTTTTCTTTGTCCATTTCACCTGCAGCTTCATTCTCCGAATTTCTCTCATATGTAGTCACATGAAAGTAAAAGCCAACTGTGTATATATAGATAGATAGATACATGGCAAAGCACAAAGCAAGTGACATACATTTTATAGAAATACAGCACAAGCACACTTTTCAATCAAAACATTTCACAAAATGAAGTAGGCTTCAAATATAAGGCGATGACTGACTTTATATATCCACTAAAAATCACCTTGACAACAGTTTGTTAAAAATAAGATGGCCACTCGAATTAGAGACTCTTTATACTTTACTTCAGACTTGACTCAGACCTCAGATGAAAGATTTCTGAACATTTCTGTGCATAAGTGTCTACAAGTATCCAGTATATTATTGTTTGTGTGCTGTCATCTTTAATGCAGTCGTACATTTATTGACAATTAATGACAATCAAAATGATTTTCATGTCTGTAAGTTAGTGTAGCACGTGGCCCAGTTGTAGCGACTATGCCACCACGAAATACCGGGGAAAATAACCCAAATAAGGACACGCAAATACGTTCCACATGAAAAGAGCAAGAGGCATGAATCTCCGTACAAACAATCTTTTATTAAAGCTTCATGGGTCCAAAAAAAAAAAAAAAAACAGAAAACATCCAAATAATGCTATAGAAAGCGGAGTCTTCATAGGAGAAGCGGGTGAATATAACGGCACCAGGTATGCAAAAGAGAAAAATCACACCCATCAGTATCACACCCACAAGCTTCACTGCAAATAGTAACACCGCAATAGTGACACACACAAAAACGGCCACCCCAAGTGAAATAATGTCCGTGGTGCTGTCAAAACCCAGCCCGTTCCCGTTAATACGATGGTGTAATGCTCATGACAACAGATCTAAGGATCATACAACAAACTCTTTAAAGGCTCCTCTTTAAAAGGTGACAGCGACAACAACTAGTGCTACGACCTGGGCTACGTTACACTGCGAAGCCACAATCAATGGGGGCCGTGAAGGCACACCGCATTGAGAGCAAACAACGCACGCACCCAGTATATCTCAGCAGCCTAACAACACACATGGAAGGTCATAACAGGAGGGAAGGGGCGGGCTTTCAACCATGACGCACTCCAAGAGGCAGAACCAACCAACTTATATACCCTAACCGGGCAGTCGCTCATTGGCCACCTAATTAATGATGGTGACGTTAACAACATCACTACATTCATGTACTCCTTTTGACTTTTTTAAAGGGGTGATCCCGTTTCAGTCTGCTTGTTAAGTGTTCACTACAGCAGGCACACAATGTTCTGAATACCAATAATTTAAGGATTCAGAAACGATGAATCACTGTCTGGCGGACTAACATTTTGGTACGGATATAAAGATTAGGATCATGATTTTTTGGTAGTGTTACAACATACCTTGAGTGTATATTAGAGTCTATATTAAAGGCAGAGTAAGTGATCTATCTTTCTGTCGCTCGGCTCGGCTAATGTCCGTCCCGTGCACTGACAGCTCTCTCCTCCACATCACGAGTAGACATGCCCCTTATTGCTGATTGGCTACAAGTTTGTTTTGCTATTCGGCCCGAATCAGTTTTCTAAAGTGTTTTTGAAAAATCACATACCCTGCATTTAACTCTCAACTAATACAGACACATATTTGAATACATGTTATAGCCTACATATAAACAAGTTCATTCATTTTAAAAAGTAAAACAATGTCCGGTGGTGTTTGTCCAATAACTGAAATGAAAGGATTTTTTAAGGCTGCAATTCTTGAAATGAAATCAAAGTAAAAGTAAAGTTAAACATGTATATTTTTAATAAAAAATATTATGAATGCTTTTTCTTTAAAGCATCTCATGATATTTCAGTTTAAAGAATTAATGACATTTGTAGAAAAAATGGTTTACTTTAAAACGTTTAAAAACTTAGTTAACTATTAAAGATAGGTGCACTCAAGTGTATTCAAGGAAAATATTTAAATACTTTTTTTACTTGATGGTCAGGACTTTTCGAGTTATTGAATACTGAAAAAAAATCAGAATGGTCTCATTTCTAAAAATGTTTGTTATGTTACATTTTAAGATAGGTGTGCAAATGTGCGATGATGTATGTCATACTAAAACCAAAATAATCATTTGAATCATTTTGAATCATTTGCATATTTATACATCTCTCAACAACCCTATGAACCTCCTCCCTGTTGAACTGACTCAAAATAAAACACTAAAAAACGGCCTTGTGCAACCCGAGGGAGCTCAACTGCTGGCAGTACAACCATTCATTTCATAAGAAACGAAAGAGAGAAAATAATAATAATAATAAAGAGAGAAAAAACTGTGTGTAAAAGTAAATAATAATCTCTAATAATGCATTTGAGTTATTTTGAAAGAGCCCATCATCTGGATATATTGAACTTTTCTGTAAAGGAAATGAAAGTAAAGAAACATCAACATGAGGGTAACAGAGTTTATGGATACAGTTCCCCAAACATGTAAGATTTACTGAAGAAAAAAAAAAAGTAAAAAATGAAGGAAATGATGTGGTGAACAGTGTAACTATTGACTGAAAGTTGATGTCAAAGACAAATGTTCAACACTTGATCTTTTTATTTTGGTGCGACAATCTGTTAAGTTACTTAGTATAGGAAATTATGATCCGCACTCACGACAAATGTTCACAATGTGGGCTTAAAACCAAGATTCTGCATTTTTGTCACTTCCTCTTGGTGAACATTTGACCAGACATCTTTCCCACAGAGGACAAACTGTTTACAGAAAGAAGAATTTTCATCTTATTTACTCATCCTCGTGTCAGTCCAATTCTGTTTTTCTATTAAAGACTGTTTAAATCTTCACAACAGTTCATAGGGACCAAGTCACAATGATTAAGAAACATTTGAGAACCAATGACATGAAGTGAACGTGACGATTATAGGCGAATAATAGCTTTTAACTAATAGCATAAGAGCAGAGGTGGAAAGAGTACGAAAATATTCTACTCAAGTAAAAGTAGCATTACTATTAGGTGAGATAATAATCATGCGAACGAGTCATGAGCCCACTACCTAGCCTCTATGTGGTGATTGGATGCCGCTAATATTAGTCAACAGAAAGTTGGCTCCCGCTCCTCACCCCTTCCAACCTAACAAACAATCCGACAAAGTAAATAATAAAGAAAAACGGAAGTGATCACCTGTGCCCACGTGACCATGAATAACCAATAAGAAATATCAGACAATTAATGCTCTTACAATTACATTAATGAAATTTTACTTAAGTATAATCATTTAGGCTTATTTGAAAACTACATGGTATGTGTGTTGGACCACAACTCTTCATGGCTGCGGCCCTCCAGGAATATTTGTGCAAAACCTTTTGCTAAACTGTCAAAGCTTCATTTTAACCACCAATGCAACGATGCAAGTATTTACATATTACACTGCATAATAGAGCTTAAATATGACCAGGGGTTCACTTCATTTCCTTCGGGTTCAACTTCAGCAGAATATGACGGGGTTTCGTTTTCAGCTGGGTCTGCACCATAACGCCTGTCTTGTCCGTCTGCATCTTTCTTGTGATTTTAGCGCCAGTTTGTTCTCCTGCCCATTATTTAGCCTCCTGGAGTAGTTTCCAGGGAGCGATTTTTTTTTACTCAGTAATTAATGCGTTTTAAAATGTAGCGAAGTACAATACTTCAAACAAAATATACTTAACTAAAAGTTAAATTACAGATTTTAAAAATTACTTTGAAAAGTAGAAGTAGGCCTACACAAAAAAAACTACTCAGTTACAGTAACGCGAGTAAATGTAATTCGTTACTTTCCACCTCTGCATAAGAGTAAATAATGACAGAATTGTCATTGTTGTAAAACTATACCTCTAAAAAGCAGCACACACACACTTCAGTAAACCAAAAAAAAAAAAAAACGAATTTACATAAATAAAAACTGAGACAAAGACACTTTGGAAAAAATCACAGCCCCATCTGTGATTCTCTATAAATAAAGCTCTGGTTCCAGAGAGGTCTGAAAGCACATTCTGTGGTAAATGATGGATCTAGTGTAAATTCGGTGGACTAGCATAAATTAAAAATACAATTAAACAGGCATTATTTTATTTGCGAGAATAAGACCACAGCCAAGAGGGAGACTTACAATCTATCGTTTAATCCTCGCTCTGTTTGAACAGACAATATCAGTAAATCTCCACGAGTCAAATCTTTACTCTCTCAGCAGCTTGACTTACTGCGTAATTTTATTTGAAATCAGCGTAGATCGAAAGCACCAGGGGTTTTTTTTCTTTTGATGGCATGTCTACATCCTCATTAGATCCAGGAAATAAAGACAGTGGGAAACACTTGAATTCAGCTCACCACAGAATGTCACTACAGAAAATCCTAACCCAGTTTCTCTCCACTTTTCAGTAAGCAGTGTAAGTATGCATATGTGGACATAAACTACACTTCCTAGTGGATTTTTTTTTTTTTTTTTTTTAGTTTATAAGGCCTAGGAGCTATAAGAGATGTATGACCTTACTGTCATTGTATTGCTAATGCAGAGGAGCCTGGGAACATTATACAACTGACAAAGAGACAAGACATGGCCTTCTTATAGATAAGAGTCTCATTAGAGAGAATGGTGAATGAAATATAACATGTGGTCTCAGTTTTATTCAGCCAGACAACATTATCAGATCTGAAGTCTCTTTGTGGGTTAAACTCAACTGAGAAAGGAAGGTGCTGTTTGTTAATGCAGGTCTATGACGCACACGGATAGATGAAAGTGAAAC